CATAAGCTGTATAAGATCGCTTCATTTACACACCACTCTGATAACAGGTAATAGTGATAAGTAACTTGATGCATATGTGAACAAATTGAGTTTGGAACCTATGTTAAGGGGCTGGTCTGTAATAGACAAGTGTCGCATCGTCTGCAAAAGGTGCCCATAAGGGTAGGCTCAATAGTAGGTGCTGGATGACTAGAATTGAACAAAAGTCTTGTTATCGGTAGTTGATATTGCACTATCTTCAACTATCGTAGTGCCTATATCACAACTAGGGTTTGGAGGCTGGAGTTCAATTCTCTGGGTGATTTTGATGTATGGCTTGGCAACTATAGTGTAGGCTATCATCTTAGGTTATCATGACTCTTTTTCCAGTAGTTGTGATGAATGTGAATGAAGAAGGGTACCATGTATCTGAACAACATAGGTAGTTCAGAATCTTGGCAGTCTACTCCTTGTGGTGAAACTATGCTATGTCTTAGACATCCATTCACCTTGGTTTCGCAGATTCACACTGGGTTTAAAAGTACCAAAAGGGGTTATGGTGGACTCAACATATACCAAAAATAAGACACATCACTTTTATCGAATGATGCATATAGGGCGCTGAAGTTCCAACTGCGTGATCCAATTAAAATCAAAAAAAAACTATTTGGAATGGCTGGAGGTACGTGATTATTAATTCCTAGACTTTTATGACATGTATACTGATATTTGTCATTTCAGACGTACACAGGCAAGGCAATGGTAAACGAATGCAGAGGATATTTTCTCGCTAAAGTGATGGTTACAAGAAAAACTGAACTAAAAGATGTATTCAAAGTATGTTGATGAATACAATACGTTACATAATACGTAACAATACTTATGTTGTAATTTTTATAGGATACAGTGAATGTTACTGCATAAGCGAAGGCATATCGCACTGTTTTTGAGATCAATATTGAAATAACTCTGTGTGTCTTTATAGCATAATGATAAGATAAAAGAAGCGAAAAGACAAGGATGATGTGACATCGATGCCACCCACAAAAAGGGTAATGACACAACTTTAGTCACACTAGTTCACGTGTTACTCAGCAAACAGATTTACATTGGTTGAAAATAACTGATATTTATCAATTTTTAATTCAATCTAGATCACGTTATGAATCATCGTACTCACCATCTCCATCTGAAGTGGAAGAATTACCTTCACTAGCAACTGATTCAGTATTTAATAATGACAACTATGAAAGGGATGTTTCTCAATTATCTGATGAAGAAAAAGAAAAGCTAATAATAGAAGATCAAAATAATGTTGTCTCTCCTTTGCGTGCGGTATAAGAAACTTCAGAAAATGAGGTAGTTGTATTTTTCACCTGTATTTAACACAACAAAAAATGTCTTTTCACTTTTCACAGATCAGTACAATTAGTACCGTCAATGAGATAGAAGTGAAATCAACCTGTAACGATAATGACAAAGAATCATCATTGTCTCCTCCTAATCAGGAACTAGAAGACACAAAAATGATTCCTCTGATAATTGTAAATGAGGTAAATGAACAAGTTATAGAAATGATAAATCGTTAAAACAGATATTCTTTTTGGCCTTTCCAATGACTGACTAACTTAATCTATATGCGCAAGATAGAGATATCATGACTGATATAAAAATGATGCGTGACAGATATCTAAGAATACGTCGGGATCTATGTGACTATTCTTCACAGAAGGATGTAAGTTGATCACAGATCTGCATCAGTTTTAGGAAAAAAATTCTGTATTGATCATTGCTTTGCCTTTTAGTGGTTTATTGAAAACTACAATATTTCAAATGGATTTCGCAAATATCAAATTAGTAATATTGACAAACTAGTAGCTGGCGAAACTTTTAACTTTGCATCAAGCAGTAAGGTGATCTTGTAAGTATGATTGATTTACATCTTAAGGATGTCTGATTATCTAACAAATTCTTTGTATTATAGATTTCTTCACAATATCATGTTTATTGACTCAACAACAATGAAAAAACCTTTGTACTTAAATATAGATGATGAACGAAAATGGCGTATTTCTATATGTCAGCCAAGACAACAAACTTCACCCAGTTTTCTCAGAGAAATAATGGACGAATATGAAGCGGTATTGTACTGTGTTTAGCATATGCGGACCTGTGATAATTATAATCTAATATCTTTTTAGAGCTTCTAATGAGTCGAGTTGACTCATGAGTCAAATGAGTTGACTCGAGTTTGAGTCGAGTCGAGTCAAAAATTTTCTGACTCATTAACTCGAATCGAGTCATTAGTCGAGTCAAATCAATAAATTGACTTGACTCATTTCAACTCGAATTGACTCGAGTTGACTCACATGAATTTATGTTACACAAATTACCATTTTGGAAATTTTGTGTAACTAATTCTTGTTGATTTTCCAATTTTTTGATAACCAAAAATATCATTTTAGAAATTTGTGTAACTATACATCTATATTTAGAATCTTAGGTAACTCAATTTGGTACAATCCGTAATTCGAAAATATACCGGTTACAGAGCTTTAATTGAATATTTTTAATACATTTACTTGAATATCTCAGCGTCCAGTAATCCGTTAGAAAAAAAGATGTGGCAGCCCTAGCTCAGTGGTTAAACTGCGAGTCTCCTATAAGCTAAAGTTTCATTATACAGCGATAGGCCATCAGTTC